GCACCCCAATTTACAACCCGTCAGCATGGAAGGAGACAATTGGGAATTAAGGGAACTAGTCAAGGGATCCTTTATTACAAAGCTGGTAGGCATCTAAGGAGGACACTGAACCTAGAACAAGGAAACACTAGTACTCATTTACAAACAGAACTCAGCATTTTTATTCATTGATTGACTTCCTGCCAGTTTTGATATTTGCTACCACCAGAGAAGAGCGTAAAAACACAGTACAACATTGTTAACCAGTTAGGAAGGCTGGAAGGGAAAGCAAATCCCAGTACAATTGCAAGTAACTCAGTGGAGTTTATAATTAAGGTTTTTTGTTTTTTGTTTTTTGTTTTTTTTTTAACGGATCAGCAATGAACTGCTAAATATGCTGCTGCACTGAACCAACAACAGGACTTTCACTAAGTTTGTGGTTTATTGCATTACAGTTTAAAACTAAACGTTATCCATCATCATACAGTTGTTCACCAACCAGGTAAATGACACTTTTTCATATGTTATATGCTAAATGGCTAAAATTATGCAGTAGCTGAACTAGACTAGGACTAGTAGAGGTAGATATTGAATGGGCAGTGCCAGGCAGAGATATTTTTTAAAACTACTTTTTGTCTTTTGTTATGAACAGTTAGCAGATGTAACATTTTCAATTAAAACAAACATCTTAGGAAAGCTATTCTAAGATGCTTTGGATTTTCTAGTAATATTTCTCTTGCAATATTCTTACAAACTCTTTGATACGGTCCCTTGTAAACTGGACAATCTTTGCCCTCTGAGTTTTCTGCCACAATTTACTTGAAGACCAACATACAAAGCTAGAATCTTTGTGAACATACTACTATTTGCTTGTACCACTCTAGAAGTAATACACTTTTACAGCTTCCTTGGCATGAGAAGACTGCATTTATAATATTTACAGCTTCAGTAATCTCTCTAGTATTAAAAAAACTATTTTATACTTACTCTAAAATTGAATTGCTATTAGGCCACCTCCTTATAACTCACTTCAGTCTCTTTTTGCTGAGCTGCTCTATCAGTTGCTCCTTGCCATTCTTACTGCTGGCTGTATGCTCTCGGGAAGAAGAGTCTCTGCCCAAGATAGGCATTAAAACTGGTGTTCGTAGACCGCAGCTTTAATTTCCAGGAAATATAATCATGACAGAGTGACCATGAGTTCTGTAAAAGTGTACACCCTTCGCTTCTTACCACATCCAAGAACAGTTCACAACTGTAATGCTCCTGGAAGCAAGAGTCTTTCCTCAACCTCAGCAACTGTTTTGCTCCATCTGGAACTTTAACTTTCATTAATGAGCTTATAGACCACTCGATTCCTTACTGATATGACTGTCTAATTATACTACATTTGCATTGTCTTCCTCCACAGAATCCCAAAGCAGTATGTTATCAGACAAGTGTAACTCTTACTTCCACATAGTTCGACCTATTTTACATTACCACTTAGGTACAAACTGCATTTTTAGAGCAAGCTTTCTTAGGGGGAAAGACAGGGGAAAGATTTCAAAGCTTGCTAGTTACCCAGCACAGAGCACTTACAAAAACATTTAAAGCGATCATGAAAAGGGAAAAATAAAATCATTTTAGTTCAGGTACATTGAGCTGGATTATCATATCAAGTGGTTTTGTTAGCATTAGTGGCACACGTTCAAAGCACAACTGTGGCATTTGGGATGCTAGCGCTGCAGGAACGATGGCACCATTGCTCGAACCCCCAAAGGCATCATGTTAGACAAAGGTCCTAAGTTTTCTTATCCGAACTTGCACATGTCATACTGAAATTATGTTTGCACCTCTGGTTTCCCAGGCCTCATCTCACCCTACTCTCATCCATGTTTTCTATGAAGACACTGACAAGTCAATCTGGCTGAAAAGTAAGGTGCTACACCAACTTCCAGGGTCTACTGTACAGCTGGAGCACCTCCAGGCCTGGAAAAACAAACCAAAGCAAACACTAAAGGAAGATTTAACAGGCTAATTATACATACCTCATCTAGCCCTAGAGAGCTCCCTGGGAAACTTGGAATTTTCTCCCTTCGCTAGGAGACAAACTGAGCAACAAACTTCCTTCTGTGTTCTGGCTGACACATCACACATCAGGATGATTCCTCCCCTACCAACATGGAAGTATAAGACCTCTACTGAAAAAAACCGCATAACTGTAGAAGAATATAGAGGCTTTTAAGGCATTTAAGATGGAAAGGAATAAAATGAGTTACTGAATAGATAATTTTGAGACTATTTTACCTGTTTGTTCACACATACCACATGTCTGAATGCTCTGGTCTCCAAATGGAAAAAGCGAGTACCTCACCTATCATCTTGGGGCAACAACCACTTTGTTACTTACAATTTAAGTCCGCTTCTGACTCTGGCATTGCTTCATGCAATGTGAATTTGTACAGTCTCTATCTAGGGAAAATTTGTTGTTTGAAATTTTTTTTTCCTCCCAGGAAGGACATCGCATATGTCATCACCAGGTAGCTCCACTGATGGTGAAAACATCTTTCCCCAGTGAAAATCATGTCATTAGTGAGCCCATGTTCTAGGTCACTGGCCATGACTGCAATCCCTCCTCACCTGCTTTGGCAGCCAAGCATCAATTTTGGATCTCAGCATGCAAAGGGAAGTTTTCCACTGTAGCATGGCACTCTGTGCTACTACTTCGCAAGACTCATTGCACTGGACTGTAACTTCATTTCCAGCTCTTAAAAACTCCTCCTCAGAAGTTAGCATTGCACCTAACAGGAGAGATGCGAAGATGAAGGAATAGCAATTCCTTTGCCAATTAAAGAACCACCTTCTTCAGTTAAAACTCTTTAGTTTCACTTCCTGGGACTGCAGTCTTCTGGAAGGGGACGAGGGACGTCTTTCATCCAAAAGCACTATGGATGCCTTTCAGCAAAGTTATGAAGAAGTGTCTTTGGGGAAATCACAATAGATGTGTAGATGGAGGCTTCTGGAACACCCACAGAAATATCCTTTTCCACTTGCATAATGAAAGATAACAAGTAACTTCTTGCTTTTAGTTCATCTATTTCAACACAGAAACAGGCAGTGAAAAAAATAAAAGAAATAATCCCATTTATAGGCAGCACCCAAAAACCAGAATTCAGGGGGGAAAAAAAATTGCTTGATGCAATTCACAATCTGTTAAAAAGGGTGAGCACTCATCTGCCTCCAGCTAAGCATCAAAAGCCAAGAGAACGGCAGCAATACTCAGAGGCAAGGCCAGAAGCTCATAGCTTGTGTAGGCAAGATCGAACCATCTTCAGTAGTTGCAGAAGACATGCAGTCCAAGTATCTCAGGCTGCAGAAAAGACTGAGACCTAGACATAAATACCAGAGTCAATTAAAGGCTCTATAGGTACTCTAGTCCCTAAAAAGCCCAGCAGATTAAATATACGAATACACCAATACAACTTACATTTCCGACATGAACTACACTGCAAACATACACAAGGATAGTCTTAACCATGAAAAGAAAGTGGTGCTGAATACACAAGAAACAAAAGCCTGTTCTTCTGACAGTTAGAAAACTACAAACCCCAATAAGTCTTCCTGGATTTCTGAACTGTACGTGTCAATCACTGAATTCCGTGATGTGGAAGAGGAAGGCTGTGTATCCACATGACAGATACTCTGTAACTGAACTCCTGCAGCAAAGAAGGCACTCACTTTATAAGCTGTAGTTTATTTTCTGCTCTGTTTTAGATGATGAGCCTATAAAAAAACAACATTTGAGCACTTATCTGTATTATTAATTAACACAGTAGACAAGTAGACTGAAGCTTGACTTGGAAAATAAAATTCAATGTAACATTGGTGGAACTTAAAAGCCAAGTAGTAAGTAAAGCATTCTGTGTTATAGGACTTCCCAGACATTCAGTATTTACATATAATGCATTTGCACTTTATACTCAACAACCACCCATCAGCAGTGACATTATTAGCGTAACTGGACAGCACAGTAAGCCAACCCTGAGCTGCATTCTAGCAAACCCATTCATTTTCAAAGTACAACAGAGATTGGTTTAAATATTCACACAATTGTTTTTCAAAACGTTTTATTGCATTATATTTGGTACCTTATGTTTGACAAAGGAAATTACATCTGTAACTGCAGGAATAAGAAGCTGGTCTGTTATTGAAAAAAAATCTTGGGCCCCTTAAAAGTTACAAAGTCTTGGGCTTGCCTGAAACAACTGAGCAAGAAATATATTCTTAGAAATGTAGGGCTTCAAGTATTACAAACCTGTGACACTGTGGAAAAGTTCCAGAGGTATCTAAACTGCAGCACTTTTTTTTTTTTTCTGCATAACGTGAACAAGGCCTGCTGAGGTTTTAAACTATTAGTCTCTTGATCAGTCAAAATGGTAGTCAGGAGTTCTCCTCTTTGCAACTTCAAGCCATAGTATGTTCTCATTTTGTTTTCACTCTATGTGAAAAATGCATGCTATCTTTCTAATTAGTTGGTGCCACATCACAGTGCATAATTTTATTTGGTTCTTGCATTACAGTTTTAAAAAGTTTGGCCAACCTGTGCTGATTGGTTCATCTCAAGAACAGCAACATTGATTCTCCCCACCCCACCCCCCAAGTTTAATTCAAAGAGAGTTTTAACTGGTTCCTTCTGTTAAAAACTGTGGTGCAAGAACACCAAACTGATCGTGTACAGTGAATTTCAGAGACACAACAAGCTTATTGAACACACTATGTTTCTTAATTCTGCTTGATATCCGCATGTCCCAGCATCCGCAACATAACACGTTATGTTGCAGGTTTCTCTGTATATTCTGATTCACATTGCATACTTCCTATGGACAGAATCATCCCCGTATCAAAATCAGTCAGATGCTAAAGCCCCATCAACTCTTTGTGCTCAGTGAAAGAATCCAGTGCTAAAACAGCATTTTTGCTGTCTGAGATAACAGTAATCTCACAAGACAAATTTAAAGTAATATTTCTGCCACACACCTGCTCTGAGGGCTATACGCCTCCAGATTTCATATAAATTAGTTTAAAAACATGGGTAGGTAGGTAAGGAGAAGGGGTTTTTTTCTTCAATTTTAGCAGCTTTTAAATTTTAAGAAACCGAACAACCTATATCCAGTAATATGTTAGATATTTTATATATATACTTTGTCAGCAGGATAAAAAAAAAAGTAAAACTATTTGAAGGCAACATTTTTTTTTTTCCTTCTGTTCTCTGTGTAAGTTAGAACAATTCAGCAGGTGCGTGACAAAAATATTATACACCAGATATGGTCCAATGTCATTTTTTTCCAATAAAGTTGTTCATATTTCATTGGCCAGTTCTTCAGGTTCTGCAGAACTATCTCCATTAACTGTGATCTTCATATCCTCCTCATATCCAGGGGGCATGAAAGCCAAAGCATAAGGGAAAAGCTTATGACAATTTGCTCTGTAAATTTCAGATGCTTCTTTACAGTCTCCAAGGCTACCGTCACATAAAGCTTCTAATACCTCCATACAAGTCTAATTAAAGAGAAAAATAAAGAAGTGTTATGGTTTCTTCAACATTCCTCTGAATACTCACAAAACCAGAAATACAATACTACAAAGAAAACAAACTCCAAGTATTGCATTCAGGTTTCTATCAATATCAAATGACTTTTTTTTTTTTAACTAGACACAGCACGAAATACCAGTATAGCCTGATTCAAAATAACGTAGTTTAAAATGGGATTTCAAAGCCAGCTAGAAATCTTGACTGAAAATGTTGGGGTTTTTTATCATCTGTTCCTTATTTTCCTAAAAAAAAAATTTGATTCTTACTAGTTGGCAACCAAAACCCAGAGTTACTTGCAAATAAATGTGTTTTTTTTGGGTTTATGGTGCCCCCCCTCCAATCCTGGGATACACTGAACATTTCAGCAACACGTAACATGCATTTGAATTATAGTGTTTGTTTGCAAATAAAAACAATGAATCTAGAATATATACTCTAATTTCCTAAGAATGACTTTTGTGAATGTGCTTTTACACGTAATTGGAAGAATTGTGGAATATAATGTAAAAACTGCATCAGCTGAATAACCATAATTAGACGTGAAAACATTTCTGGTAGGGGGAAAAAAAAAATTACGTTTAAGGATACATGACTTACTGAAGTGTGTCTGTAAGTAGTAAATCAAACCAAATTACTCTGATATTATCATATCCTTCAGATGTATCTGTGGTTTCATATCCATTTTTGTTCATGATTTGGAAGAGAAAAAGGAGATTTCCGGGGTTTTTTTCCTTTTTTTTTTTTTCCCCCCCAACTTGCATTCCAAACATGACAAACCGACTTCCTGAGCTTCACTAAAGCCCGGCAGCATTTAACATCTGTCCATGTCGTGCATGCTAGCATTAGCATAGTAAGCTGGTCTTTTTCCACTCCTCTGACATTTACTATAGCGTTTATTTGTTCTGTGTATTGAGATTAACTGCTCTCCTCCTGCTATGGGGTTATGAAGCTCTCTTCAACAACCCCTTTTCCTCACATTTGCTCTTTGCGACACTGGCACCCACAGAAGGTCAAATACATCCAGATTTATACCCGAGACAGCTGGTCTTTACTAAAATTAAGTGTAATAAATTTGATCTCTTTGCACATGAGAATGCCTTTCAACGAATGCCTAGACTCCTCCAGAGTCTCATTTTTTTAAGGCACGTTCAATCTCCCATCTAAAAGTTCAGTAAAACTCCAACTGTTGCTTTATGTTGGCACCAAGAATGCTTAAACTGAACTTTTCCAGGTTTATCACAATGCTGCATGTATCATCTTTATACACTGCTGAGTCAGGAAATGCTTGCTGTAGTCCTACAAAGAGGACACCTCTAAACCAACCAAGGATTTTTGATTACATTTTAATCTTTCCC